CTTGCTCATTGAAGTTGGGGATTCGATGAACTGTTAAGACCCTTGTTCATCTTTGCCTGTGTTTAATGGCCTCCTTATGTCCTTCTGAACAGGGGCCCTTGCTCTGCCATACCACAGGGGCACAGCAAACTCCTTAGGAAGGGTTTTGTTGTGGGGTTTTTAACTTTCCTCTCATCCAGACCTCTGTTGATGAAACCCTGGTGCCAACACTTGTGCAGATGTGTCTTGTCCTATCCCTGGTGATCTCAGCCTTGTCATCATGCTGCTGGGAGCTGTTCCTCCCAGGGGATCAGCACCAAGGCACCCACTGGCTCAGGTACCAGAGCACGAGATGCTGCACTCACAGCCTAGCAAATAACTGGATGTTTTATTGTTCTTATTTATACAGATTTTAAGCATAGAAACTCCTGTCTGGGGGAGGACATGGTGGCTGAGTTCTCTTGTATGGTTCTTGGGGTTTGCTTATCCCTTGGAGGGTGATCATCCCTCAGGAGAAGGGTTGGCACCAAGGAGAGGTGCTGCTCTGGGGGAATCGTGGCACCTTCCCATGGGTTATCACATCTCTGGGGTTCTCACAGATCTGGATGCAGCCAGATCTACCTGCATGGGACTTGCTGTAGGAGGGGAAGGAGATGGGCCAAGGCAGACTTGCGTGTGGTTTGGAGACAGCATCGAGGACCACTGGACCATACCATGCCCTGGTGGGAACCCTGCATCCTCCTTTTGTATTGAGGCTCCAGGATGAGGAAGAACAGCCTGTGTGAGAAGCCCCATGGGCTTTATGTGGCTGAAGGACATGAGGTTGGATTCACCCGCAGCAGACTGTTGGTGGATGCTGGATGAAGAGGCAGTTTCTCCTCCAGGAGCTCAGGAACATTTGCAAAGGATAAATCAATGCAGGGCTTCCTCTGGATGCAGACAAGCCCCTGAGGCCTTGGCAGCTTCATTATGGGAGGTTGGTGGTCATGGCCATTGGAGGGATGGGGTGATTTGTGTTGATCTGTTGGTGGCGTTTGTCACACAGCTGGTGCTCAGGGCATTGCCACCACCTTGGGAGAGACAAAGCAGATATGCAGTGTTCTGTGTGGTGGCAGGAGACAGTCCATGAGGCCACCATGGGAGCATCCATGTCCTCTCTGCCCCCATGGGGACTCCAGGGCAGTGGTGACAGGGGACATGGTCCTTGCCAAGCACCGAGTTGGTGGCCAGCACAGCAGCACCTGGGCAGGAGACACTGTTTGAAGCTGCCTTTGCTGCCCTGGTGAGGGGATTCAGACCATGAAGCTTGAGCTGCTGATGGGTGGAAGGGTTTGCATCCCTGCAGCAGGGAAGGAGGAGGGACCCTCCAGTGCTCCCAGCTCGGAGCAGGCTGGTAACCCTGGAGATGGCTCCGCAGTCACCCAGAAGAGAGGGGCTTTGTGCTGCAGCCCCTCTGTGAACACTGGTGCAGTCAGGGCTGCGCTCAACAGCTGCCTCTATTCACTGAAAAATGCCTGGCGCTGGCTTGCTGCCTCTGCAGACCCGTGTTCCTCCTGTGCTGTGGATGCTGATGGTGCTAACGAGCAATGCGAGAAGCCCTTTGTTTAGAAACAGAGGAAGCTCATGTCCACATGCAGAAACCAGCTTGATGTGTCCTTAGCTTGCCCGGTTCCTCCAGGTGAGGCTCTGGATCCTTCTCACTCTCTCAGCTAAGGGCGAGAGTGATGCCTGCAGCACAGTGGGGCCAAAGCTTCTGACCATGCAGCATCCTGTCACCTTGCACAGCATGGCACCTTTCTCTGCATGGCACTTTGAGCTGAGTTGCCAGTAGTCTCTTCTACCAGGCTCTGTGGGGATGAAGGCACAGTAGGGGTGAGGGTGCAGCAGAGGTGTGCCTGCCGTGTCTGGCAATGTGTCCTGCTGCTTCAGACAAGGGTTCAGTCTCCTCGAGCAGAAACTGTCACGGAGACTGTTATTCTTGGTCTAGTGAAGATGTCCCTGCCCATGACAGGGGGCTGGAGCTGGATGAGCTTTAAGGTCCCTTTCAACCCACACCAGTCTGTGGTTCTGATTAGTGACAGCAACATGGTCTGTGATGAGATTTGGTGTGAGGTAAGGGGAGCAGGGGAGGATGGAGAGCAGTGATGTGGGTGCTGCTCTCTTCCTGTGGCCTCAGCTCTCCCCTCATCCTGCCATGTACCTGCACTTGTCACATGAATAACACATCCTCTGACCCTCTCTCTAGAGTTTTGGTGTTGCATTTCCTGCTTTATCCATCTTCTGTATGTAATGGCAGAGGTGTTGCCTCCCTCCCAGTGCTTTTCTTAATAACACATTGAAGTATAGCATGGAAACTCCCGGGCTGAGCAGCAGGACCTGCTCTCACTTAAACTGAGTGAGCAGTGATCCTGTCTTTTGGAGTACTCATGGGTTATCCAACCCAATTTATGTGTTATGAATGCAAAGGAAGAGGAAGGACCACACACACCTGTGTACTGTGGGCAGGGTGTGGGTTGGTGGCTGCACATATAGGATGCTTGTCACAGCAGTGTGCAGGTACTCCCTTCGGCAGTAGCTGAACACTGCATGGAGGTGTGCAGGACCTGTGGAAACTGCATCCAGTTGTCAGAGTTGGTTACTTGGGTGTATTTTGGTCTTAAGCTCAGGTTGAATCCTGACTTAGCCTGAGCAGTGCTGAGCGGATAACAGCACCCGTGTTGGAAGTAAGCGGGATTTAGTAGCTGTGAACAAAGGCGCTGTTGTTTTGGCTTTTGGGGTTTTGGTTTCTTTTAGCATCTGCTCTTTAGAAAATATGCTTACCATAAAGAGGCATTAGAGGTATGGGAACCCCTTTTCCTCCCACTTCAAATGGCTTTATAAGGCATTTCTTTGTCCATGGGGATAAGTTTTTCTGGCTCAGCATCACACCCAAGGAGGATGGGGAGAGACTGACAGTAACCAAGGAGGCCAGAGAAGGAGGGTGGATGCTGCTGTGAAGAGAGCAAAAGCTCATGAGAACCTGTAAGAGCACAGCAGGTTATGCTGAGGTACTTTGGAAATGCCACTAATTGCCTGCTCCTGGTTCTAGGTACAGAAATAGATCCTAAACCATCTGTCCTGAAGAGATAGAGCCCCTGTTCCTCAGTAGACTGCAGTGCTCATCTGATCCCGTGTTGGGAGCCTTCCTATCCAGCTCCTAAACTCTGCCAAAGGGGTGCCTATCTCCTTGGAAAACCTGTGGAAAGCTGGTTCTGAGCCCTCCTGGTGAGGGGCTGGTACCTGTGCTCTGGACGGCATTCCCTAGTGTCCCACCTCTCAGTCTGCACCCAGCTGGTGCCGCTGTTTGCTCTCTCGAATTCAACCTCCCACTAAAGCCTCAAGCAGCAGCTGAGGCTGTTGAAACTCCGGGATTGGAGTCGATACAATCAATATTTCTGCAGGTTGATGGAGTTGCTCTTCCCAACACCAAACTGATGGAGCGGTAAGCAAACAGCCAGACAAAATCAGCCTTCCTGCACCATGGGAATGGGATTCACCACCAGCATCTCCAGTTACTGGGCAACTGGGCTGTTTGGTGCCAACCCCTCTGGTGTTTTCCCCTTCCTTGCTGTAATCTCTGTCGCAGCAGCTGAGCACAAGCCGGTGCCCCAAGATTCCGGCTTTGCTTCGCAAGCACTTTGGGACGTCTCTCGTTTGCAGAGCACATATTTGTTATGCAATGAGCACCAGGAATTAATGATCCACAGCAGGCCTGGGGAAACTTGCGTGGTAAGCACCCAAGGAAAAAATAACTTTCCTGGCTTTAAAGCCACTGATGGAGCCATTAGAACCTGTGTTTTCCTGCAGCGAGGCCGCCCCAGCCCCCAGGCACTGCTGAGCCAGAGCAGGGCGAGTGCCACCATCCCTCTCCCAAGCCCTTCCCTTCAGAGGAGCAATGTTCCTGCCGCTCCCGTTATGAATCATGAGGTTAGCAGCTTTTGACAGATCATAAATCAGTGCTTCGAAGTCGCTGGGACAAATCCCAGGACATTTAATCTTTAATATTAGACGTGTTTAAGGCAGTGAATATTTCATGAAGGTGCTGTTGCATTTTAGCACATCATTAGCTGTCTCTTCCCCCACTCCCCCTTTCTTTTCTTCTTTTGCTGCCTCCCCATTTCCAGGCGTCTCTTCCTTAAAAATCTCAGCAGTTGAACCCCTGTCTCGCTCCCTCCTGACAGTAAAGCTCTTTACTGTAATCCCTGCGAGGCATTTTAAGAACTTGCTTAGGATCCTGATGAGCACACAGGTACCTGCCAGTCTGCATTACCACTACGATGGGGGTACCCCACTCATCCTCTGCAGGTGCCCATCACTGCTGCTGGTGTTTACTGCTCAGCCTGCTGCACCATCAGGCAGGATGGGGAGAAGAGGAGAAGGGGGGGGAAAACATCAGCAGCAGCTTGTAACAGTAACTCCACGTGCAAATCCAATTAATCTTTTGATTTTGCTGTTTCTTGCTCCGGGTTATGTATTTCTATGGAACATGGAATCAATTTGGGCCAAGCACGATGGGGTTTCTGGTGCGGGAAATGTCTTTTCTTGCTGTGAATAGGGTGTAACGGGGTGAGACAGCACTCAGAGAGCAGTGTGGAGTAGGACCGAGAGCCCCTTAGCTGTGGGATGGGGGCATGGTGTGAGTGCTGCCCATGGAGAATGGAGGTCGAAGGGTTCTGCATCCTCCTGTGGGAGTTTGGGCTACAGGAGACCCTGTTGTGCTGTCCTGATGTGAGGTGGCAGGAGCAGAGATGGGACGTGGATGTGGCCAGGATGGGTTGGGGCATCCCTGTCTCCAGAAGAGCACCCATTTCTTGAAGCTTTCCACATCTCATCTCCTCAGCATCCCCTGGAGGTTTCAGAAGAGTCCAGAGTGCTCCAGATCCATGGCAATGACCAGGAATGGCTGTGAACAAGCAGAGATGGGCAGGTTGCTGATGTACCTCTGGGGCAGAGAGGTCTCATCTTCTCCTCTTCTCTTGCAGGAGAGTGCAGCTGCCATGAAGGTTATGCCCCAGACCCCGTCCATCGCCACTTGTGTGTGCGCAGCGACTGGGGACACAGCGAAGGGTGAGTGCAGATAGGATGCTGTGTTCGCTCTGTCCTGGCCCCCACATTGGTGAGGAGCCCAGTTCTCCTCCCCATCATCACTGGCACCAAAGTCCCAGGACCGGGCTGTGCCTCTTCCCTTGTCAATAGGTGCACCACAGCTGATCTTTCCTTCTCTGCTTTCCAGGCCATGGCCATACACGACGCTGGAGCGGGGATACGACCTGGTCACAGGAGAGCAGGCACCAGAGAAGATACTCAGGTGAGTCAAAGAAGAGTTCAGCTTGGACATTCAAGAGGAGAGCCAGTGAGGACATCCCTGTGGATGCTGCTTCTTGATCACTCCTGGCCCAGTCTTGTTATGCTGGCTGGGGAACACAAGTGTCATTTGCCTTTGACAGACCAGAAGGATGTGTCTGTGTTCTACAGAGAAGGGTTTCCCTCTCATCCCCATAGCCAGACACAGCAACAGCAAGGACAATGTGCACAGAAAGTCCCCTTGTACCGAAATGAAGAGCTTGGCCATTCCTATATTCTCCCTGTCACATCTTTAGCTGTTCACAGAATCATAGAACCCCAGACTAGTTTGTGTGGGGAAGGACCTTAAAGCTCATTCAGTTCCAGCCCCTGCCATGGGCAGGGACACCTTTCACTGGAGCAGCTTGCTCCAAGCCCCTGTGTCCAACCTGGCCTTGAGCACTGCCAGGGATGGGGCAGCCACAGCTTCTCTGGGCACCCTGTGCCAGCGCCTCAGCACCCTCACAGGGAAGAATTACCCATAAACCGGCCTCTTTGCCTTAAGTCTAACCTAAATCTCCCCTCTTTCAGCTTACAGCCATTTCCTCTTGTCCTGTCCCTGCAGGCCCTTCTCCCAAGCCCCTCTCCAGGGTTCTTGTAGCCCCTTTAGGCACTGAAGCTGCTCTAAGTTCTCCCTGGACCCTTCTTTTCTCCAGGCTGAATCAACCCAGGTCTCTCAGCCTGGCTCATTTTGTCTTTCAGGACAAGACCAAATGACTAACTTACACCATGGTGCCACTGCTGCTGTGACTTCCAAGTGGTGTGATGCAGAAGAGTGGCCACCGTTTGCTGTGGACACTCTGTTCCTCTATGATACGTTTGTCCTTATTCCAGGTCCACCTATAGCTTGGGTCAAGGCCTGTGGCTGCCTGTCAGTAAGAGCTTTGTGGTGCCCCCTGTGGAGCTTTCCATCAATCCTCTCGCCAGCTGCAAGACAGATGTTCTGGTGACAGAAGATCCAGCAGATGTCAGGTAGGAAGCAGATTTCCTCCTTTTCCTCACGCTTGAGTGCCTACACTGCTCTTTAAATTGCTATTGAGGATGCAGCAATTTCCATGATGATAAGTCTGATTAATTTTGTTCCAATAAGAAATGTGATGTGATAGCTCTCCAGGCTCTTTTGGTCCTGATGGGTCTAGGTTAGGCCTGTGAATATAGCTCTGAAGCCTGCCAATCCAGACAGGTAGATTGGTATGAACCTGTGGCAAGGCAGTTTTGGAGTGACTTGAATCTAATGTCAGATTGGATAGCTTAAATTGATGCATTTACCAGTATGGAGGTGCTGTCATCTTTCAGAAACTCATACGTATATCACATCTATCCAAGTCTTAGTTGTCTGCTGTGATGCTTGCGAAGAGCCAAGGTCAGAGGACTACACAGATTCGATTCCTGTTATTTAGTGTGCATATCCCTCTCCCTCATTAAATTGAGGATGTGACTGTTGGGTGCCAGGGAGAATGTGTGATCCCCCCTTCACTTCCTTCTCACTGCCTTCTCCCATTGACTTAAGATACAATTTCCAGACCTGCCAGCCCTTGTCTATGTTGTGAATCATCTCCCTGGGTGCCAGCAGGATCCTAATGTCCCTCAGCCCTTTCCATCTTTTCCCAAAGCGATGGGATGGTGGATTTCCATTCTGTCCCATCATCTTGGCAGAGCTACGGTTGGAGCAAGCGCTTACAAAAGCTATGGCAGAGCCAGGGCTGGCATCCAAGAGGTTCTCACTTCCAGGGGTGTTTCTGTGGCCCATTAATGCTGTAGAAAGAGACTGATAGGTCTGATAGGTCCATACCTATCACAGTGGCTCTCTTCAGAGTGTTGATTGTCCTGTCTGTGGAAAACTATTGCTTTCCATATGAGAAGGTGATGGGTCCCCTTGCTTTATGCTAACATTTTCCAAGCCAAAATGCCAGGAGAACATTGTTTCTTTCTTGCCTCCTCACATCTTCATTTAATGTAGCAAAAGTAGAGGCTGGGAAGCTTGCTTTCTGCTCCAGCATGGTGATTGTGTCTTAGCACTGATCCTTGTGTCTCGATCGGGATGAATGAATGCCAGGCAGAGGAGGGATGTTCCTGGCATGGAGGCTGTTGCCTGCTCCCTTCATAAATGGAATCTGAGCTGAAAATTCCAGGTATAAATATTGGAGTGACCCAAGGTAGAATAAGGGAGGCGAGTTCACGGCTCTTGTATCTTACATACAGGGGATGCTGAATTATTAAAACCTTAATAAATGTAATACTAAATATTTGATGTTGAATTATGGAAGGGTTCACAGATACAGTGAAAACTGAAAAGCAATCTATTATTTCTGCATTAGAAATTAAACAACTTCTCAAGCAGGGATCAGGCTGTAAGCTTGGGGTCCAAGCACTCTAGTCTGAGTGGAAACCAGGGTGATACTGCTTGTTCAGGTCCACTGCAGGTGGTGAGCAGGGATGCTGCTGTGTTTGGGGCTCATAGACATCATGTTGGCTTGTGTCTGTTGTGCTTTCATACAATGAGAAAGGTACTTGTAGAGCTGTTTGCCTTGCACCCTCTTCACTTTGTCCCCTCTGGACTCAGACAATTCTTGGTAGCTTCTCAAGGGACTATTAATATAGAAGTTTTGGTGGTTCAGATGTCCAGATGATGATCCCATAACGTCAGACCTACCACTGGAGATGAACACGTGCTATTATGTAGGTGTCCAAACACAGCCATCCCTGTGCATGGGAAAGCCTATTCCCAGGGCTGTCCCATTATCCGCCCTTCCATGCTGGCAGCTTCTGCAACACTTGAGCTCTAAGACATCCCCATGTCAAGGGGCAGCCACTGGGCTGCATTACACCAGCTTCAACACGGCCGTATCTCAGCACCTCCAGTGCCCTGTTTGCTGTCCTGTGAGGATGCGATGGCAGCTCAGTCCTGTATTTCTTCTGTGTCTCTAATAGCAAGTGTGCTGCATTCCTCCAGACCTTTCATTAGTCTGACACCTCTTGGCACCAGGGTCACTTGTCTTGATGAGTTTAATGGAGGGAAATTGTAGCGAGCCTGGTTTGGAGAAAACAAGTGATGAAGTCTTTACAGCTCGGAGGGTTAAAGGTCCAAACGTGGTCTTGTGTTTTTATGAAGGTACTTGATGCTATGGCAGGGCAGGTGGGGCTCTGCCTTTCAGCAGCTCTCTGGAGAAGCACTGGCTCCATGCTGCTTCCCTGGAGGGATGCTGTTCTCCATGATGCTGTTCTCTGTGTGTTTCATTGCTGAGCAGTGCAATGACATGTACCAGTGCTGTACTGGATGGGAACGAAGGGTCCATACCTCCTCCTGCTGCAGCCAAGTAGAGAAACTTCCTGCAGGCAGGAGACAAAAAGCCTACTGCAAACATCCCGTCAGGGATGCTCCTGCATGTGCTAGGGCTTGAGTGGGATGGGGCTTTGCATGCAGAACTTGGTGATGGAGGCTTTAGGGCTGTGCATCATAAATTAAACATGAGGGTGCTTAGAGTCAATGAAACTTGTATGTATAATTGATCAGTAGCCATAGAGAGCATCCCCTCCTTGACCCCGGACTCTGATTTTCCACACGATGATCACATCAGTCACACATCTGGGATTATGGCAGCTACACTCATGGTGATGTCTTGGTTCATAGGATGTTGGCCAGCAATGCTGAAGGGCTCTCCCCATGCTCAGGAGCCTCTGGTTTGGGCTGGAGGCCAGGTCCCAGGCTGAGCAGCTTGTCCCAGCTGCACATCCCCTGCCAGGGCAAGAAATACCTCCAATTCCCACCTTTTCTCACTTGTTTTCCAGATCCCTCTTTGTTTCCCATTCCTTATTGCTCCTTCCTTCTCCCTTAGCTGTATTTCTCCCATAACCTGGTGGTAAACACAGTAATCCATATATTTTTTAAACAAATTGCTGTTAAGTGTTTAATCCTTCCCACTGGCCTTCCCTGGGCTCTTTGCCCCCTCTCTTTGGCCCTTTAGGAGGTACCACTTGTACTGTGGGACCAGGAATCACTATAATTGTGGCAGTTTATGCTGTTCAGCTCATAGGGAAAACCTGCACCCCTGGGTCCCACCACTGCCAGAACTGAGCATCCCTGCAGGGGATAGTAAAAGCATCCCTGCAGGGAGATAATAGGAACATCCCTGCAGGGGATAGTGAAAGCATCCCTGCAGGGGGTAATAGAAGCATCCCTCCAAGGGGTAACAGAAGCATCCCTCCAAGGGGTAATAGAGGCATCCCTTTGGGCAGAGTTGGCTGCTGGGGGCAGAGAGAAGAGATAACCTGGGGAGCAGAGAGTGGCTTTAGCAAATACCAGGTCCCGGTTCATGCTGCCACCTTCTCTGCAGAAGAAGTTGCTAATTCCTGGTGAACAGCTATAAATCAGAGGCACGAGCCTCAGCTGCTGCCTGACATGACATACAGCTCTATCGTTATGGCAACCATAGAAACAAATAAAAGCCTTGCCTTTGCTTGACAAGGCTTTGAGATGTCCTGATGGAGAGAAAAGTGTTCAGCGGCAGAATGAATTCTCTTGAACTCGCTGTCGATTCATCTTCGTTTTGCTCCCAAGTGGGCCCCTTTGCTCTCGGAATTCTTTGCCCAAGTACAATCGACTGGGTTTTTTTTATGGGGTTTTATATTTGTTTGTTATTTCATTTCCAGTTCTCTCAGTGGCAGAGCTCTGTGTCCGTATTCATGCTGTCTCGTGTTGAAGATGCATTCCGTCTGTGTCTGGATGCATCCTGTCTCCTGTCGAGAACAGGAGCTGGGCTTTTGCTCCTTGCCTGTGGCTTTCCCTGGCTCGGCCATGCCGTGTCTTACAGGGGTTTGCAGTGTTGTTTTGCAGTGATTTCGGTACCCCTGATTGACTAGTCAGTGCTGAGAATGGCAGCATAAGGCTGCCTCTAAGTGAAGGAGCATGAAAAGTGAGGTGGATGAGAAAGGCAAAGGGAATCTGGGCCAGGAGAGGAGAAGCAGCTTTGCTGTGGCCACACTGCAGCAGCAGCAGCAGCAGAGCTCATCTGCCCTGCGCCTTATCTGCAGGAGTGCAGGAGAATGGATGCTGCTGCAGGTGAGCATCACTGAGGCTCAGGAGTTGGGCTGGGCTGGTCCCCAGGGGCACCTTGCTGGTGGGGACACACATTGCCCACTCTTCTTGACATTCAGTGCAGGGGATGCTGTGGGAACTTGGTCGTTTTTTCCCCCCTTTTCTTTGGACGAGACCAGGCTGTGATTTCTGGATGCTCAGTGCAGGAGGAAGCCCCTTTCTTGGGCTGTTCCTCAGTGGGTACCTGGGTTGCTGCCTGCACTTGCTGTTTTGGTGCCAATAATGTGCCTGTGAGCGGAGGCAGTCGGTGATGAATGGATGGCTTCAAAGATGAAGCAAATTGATCGTTGCATCACCAGGCACAACTTACTCATTTCTGAGTAATTCATTACCTTGGACATCACAGAGACACTGTCATCCCTATGGATAACATCCCTGCTGCTCTGGCGTGGGTTTCTTAGCACCCTAACATGTTTTCGTCTAGCAAAATGTGGTGGAGAAGCAGCTTGCAGTGCTTACAGTGGGATAAAGGCAGCCTTTGGCCTCATCCTCTGGAGGGTAAGAAGGATGCTTTACACAGAAGCAGCCATCAGCCCCTGCTCTGCATCTGTCAACTTAGCATCATCCTGGCTGCTTATTGGGATTTTCCCTGCTCCCTGCATCCCACTTTGATTTATGAGAGTGGGTGAGAAGCATCAGGTACATCTCACTTGGCTGTGAGGTGACTAAATGGAGACAGAATCTTGCAGCAGCCGCCGAAGGGTGTGAGCAGTAGAATGAGAGGAATTACGTGAGTGATGTGATGGGGAAATAGGGGTGGAAAGGAAATCTTGAGCTGAAATCACCCAGGGGGTACCTAAGGTAGGTCAGAATTGAAATGCAGATCCCCCAGCACCGCTGGGAGGCTGGAGGGACCTTACTGCCCTCACCTTGTCTC